AACTTAGAGGAAACATGATTTTTCAAAATCTTCTCTGCCATTATTGGGAAATTGGTTCAAGGGAAATAGTCACAGAAGACGGGCTAAAATTATTTATAACTTAGGGTCAGGAAAATAGGAAGTTTTTTACAAAAGACAATGAGAAAAGTCTCAACATGTAACTGAGTCCAATGAAGACAGCGTTAAGATGCTTCTGTCGTTGGTATAGAAGGGCTCCGAAGTGCTCCATGATCTAAAGTAACAATAAGAAAACAATTTGGCTGACTGGAAACGTGAAATTGGCTTAATTTTTTTTGGAAAAAAAATCTAAAAATGATTTTAAAATGAACTCCCAAAAGGGACTAATCCAGATATCTGTTTTCTGATATTCTCAATATAACCATCCTGAGCATTATCCAATGTCCTTTGAGATATCATAACTATGCCCAGATATAGTTGGTTCTCCATAACCATGGATTCTGTTTTTACAAATCCAACTATCTCTTTCAAATATATTTTTTTTAATTCCAAAAAGCAAACTTTGATTTTGTCATTATATGTAAGGGATACTTTTTTACTATGCCATACCCATGGTGGGTCCTGGAACTAACTCAGATTGGATACCAAGGGGTCACTATATACAGAAAAATCTCAGATCTTACAAGGGAACTGGAAACTTCTTGTTTGGTTTCATGTACATGTTCAGAAGAGTCAACTGTCTGGTATAATATGGAAGTACTGTTTACGTACATGAACAGGGCTTGCTTTCATACAATGGCTGTGATCCAGAACCTCAGTATATGAAGACATTTTTGTTTCCTCTATGCTGCTTAACAAACCTATAAAGGGCCACCCTCCAATGGATATAGAACATGTTCTTCTCATAGAAGAAAGACTGGTGCTCTCTATTCTGGGTTATTTACACACATTGAAAACAATGGATTGTGCCACTGAAGTTTAGAAGAAGGGTGAAAATGAACACAATTGCTAAAATACTCAAGAAAGCAAATATTTGGAATTGGATCAATTCCAACGTAAGTATCATCTTATTCATTCCTTTTAAAATCCACAGAGCAAACTGTTATAATGTATATGGTTTAATACTGTGAGAACCAACATGAACACTTGTGTGACAGATGCAATGAAAAATAGCTTGATGGAAGACAGATGAGCAACATAGTTTTGATGATTCAAAAAAAAAAAAAAGAAGCCATGCATTACATCTGCAATCAGTGAAAGCTTAGGATTTCATTTGGAAATTTTATTTTAAGGCACGCAAGCGGATTTCAAGTAACATTTCAATTTTCCCTCTTCTCCAAGCATTTAAACATGATTAGATGAAAAATAAGCACTCCCGTTTAAAATTTCACCAGGCACTGATTTCGTATTCCAACTCTCATATCTGACAGAATATCAACGCAATTAACGTATGAATGGTAACACAATTTCCTTGAACACCCATTTCGAGACATGAAATACATCCAGGATCTGTGATTATAGAGACAAATCAATAGCCTTGGTCAATGCTGGACTTGAGCTAAAGTCTTCATGTGACTCAGATCTATACTTCAAATAAGTCTGACTTCACTGGGAATATTTAGATATAGACTATCTAATGTTACATGGCTGAAACACAGGGAATCGACCGATGCTACCAGTTATCTCAAGACACAACTGACACAAATGAGGTGGTCAACAAAATGTATTTTATTTAGCAACAGATACAACTTCTATAAAGGGTACCTTAAAATGGTTAAGCCATGATCATTCTAATCAAATGCAAAATGGGATTTATCTAAGCGTACCTAAGGGGTGCCATCCATAATGGCTTCCTCACTCATGTCTATGGCAGGAATAGACCTTTGTTGTCTCATAAAGATCAACTCTTAAGTGATTTTTCCAAAGGTACTCTGTAGTATCCTGACTGTTTTAGGGATGAAATACTGAAGGCTGATAACTGTACGATATCAGTGCTGTAGCACCTCTATGCAGACCACAACATCTGCCATGTTACGAAATAATTCTAGCTTGTCCATGATGAATTACAGTTCCAGGTTACCTGGTGCATTTAAATCATTGTAAACATTTTGTAATTCAGCATGACACATAATTCTAAGTGTTTTGTTTTCTAAAACAAACTGATGTTGGGCCAGAACCTTCACCAAGAAACCTTTTTTGTTCAAGTTCATGATCCAATCGAACCGTTTAGCAGAATTTGAAATTAAGGAAAAAGCCAAGCTTCATTCCTTTGGGTGACATCAAGTCAACTTCTATGTATGCGTTTGCTTTGAATGAAATCAGGTGATGATGTCTAGACAAGCTCTTCTATTCTGTCAAATATGAGACTTTAATCATACATCATGCTAGTTGTACATGTACCAGAAAGAAATCAGAATCTTTGCTTGAAGTTGAGCATGAAGCAGATTATACCTACCTTTGAAAGAACCATGCAAAAATATTTGTGACCTGCTCTCTTATTAAAACCAAAAAAGGAGAGTATCATTCGAGTTAGCTCTGAAGATTCGACTGCACTCTTGTGAGACCAAAAAGGAGAAGCCATGGCTGGATGCTGGTAAGATATACAGCAACCGAGGCCCACCAAGACCAGATTTAGCCTCCACCCCAACTGATCCCCCAAATTCAACATTATTTGTTTGCCTCCAAAGAAGTGAACTGCTGTCATTCTTAAGGGAAAGTGTTGTACTTGGGAATGCTGATGATGTCAAAGCCTGTTCTCTGTTGTGGATGCCAGATGTGTGAAGTACCATTGCAATGTTACCTGCATTGGAAGTGGAGGGCAGCAAATACTCCTAGTTTTCCAAATGATATAGGTGAGTGGAGTCCTACCTTTGGCCCTTCAAGTGTTATGGACCTCAACTCCCAGAATTCCTGAGTATTCGACAAGTTGGCCTGGGATTCTGAGAGTTGAAGTCCCAAACACCTGGAGGACCAAAGGTTGGACACCACTGGTATAGACTTACTGGGACACATCTATTTCCCTTTTCAGTTTCCTGGATCTGCCACAGGCCATCCACTACCATACTACTGAAAAGCTGGTAAAAGCCCTTTAGAACAAGTAGAAAATGCTTGTTTTAAAGGCCGTTCATGATTGGCTACTGAAATTTGCCATCTAGTAAAAAGAAATCCTTTAATGCTATCCATCCTTCCATCTATCTATCTATCTATCTATCTATCTATCTATCTATCTATCTATCTATCTATCTATCTATCTATCTATCTCAGCTTTCTACCCATGAAAAGCTTATTAGTGCAATATTCCACTAAGGTCCAGGGGTCATGGAAATGGTCTTGCAGATCCATAAAGCACTCCTCCTTAAACTGTAGGTCCCAATCCCAAATGGGGCTCCTTTTCGCTCAATTTTGGGTTCCCAGAAAAATTGGCAACACTAAAAGTTTTCTGAATGCCACCTAGAGGCTATTTTATAAATTGACAGGAAACTGTTGCGCAAGATTTACAGTGGATTCTGCAGATGATGCTTCAGCTATACTTCATAAAAAGGAAAATCAGCCTGATTATTAGTAAGCTTTGCAAATGTTGATGTGCCATCAGTAAATGTTTTGTTTTTATACCTATTTTATAGATCTATAAATCTGGAGTCACGTAAAACTTTCTCAGGCCATAAGTGGTAATTTGTGGAAAAGTTTAAGAAGCCTTACCAGAAAACACTATTTCTGCAGTCTCCCTTCCAAGCAGGTAACTTTGCAACAGATATACATTTCACTCAACATAACGACAGGCTCTTTGACATCAGAGGGGAAAAAACAAGGGGTAAAAATCTGCTTAAGCAGATTTACAGTTGGCGGAATATCATCAGACCAATCAAAATCTCTTCCCATTTTTAAAATATCTTGTAAAACTTTTTATTTTATACATCATGCCTGCTTTCTACACAAAGCAAAATTTATTATTATTTTTAAAAAATCAAGTCTTGTAACAGTTCCCTTTTTATGGAATTTAACAAAAACTTGAGAGGCAGCCAAACACTTGATTAACAAAAGTGTGTTTTAAAAAAACCAACCTGATAAAGGAAACACGGGGGAGGAAATCAGCACAAGAAAGAACAATCAATTGATTAGAAAACAAGACCAGAACAAGGAATCAAACACTTTTAAAGACAAGAGCATTTGAAAGAATCACAACTTTTAGCTTGATGGTGGTCACTAGTCATGCTTCAGCCAAAAATAGACCTTGAGGATGAAACCCTACTGCCTTGGATTACATCCCAAAATACAAGGCGTGGATATCGCACCTGCCCTCCTACCTACCCACACCTAAACATCTCCTTAGGTCCCGTCTATACTGTTATGTAATGCAGTTTGAAACTGCATTATATTGTCAGTGTGGACTCAGATAATGCAGTTCAGTGTGCTTAAATGCACTGTACATGGGGCCAAAGTGCTAAACTCCTAGTTCTTTGAAGAAAGCACTGTTGTCCTCTCCAGCTATGGTCTTGTTTGCAAAAAGTGCTTGAAAAAGTCCCTTGAAAAATTATGTTAACGATTTCTTAAGAAAAGTAGAGAAAGCACTTTCCTGGTTTGGTTTGAAGCAACAAGCAGGCCGTGATATCATTCTTCAGAATGCAAAAGCTAATTTTCTAACTCCCCTCCCACATCTCTTTTTAAAACATGGCATGCCACATGTTACTTGACAGCATAGTTAATACTAAAAAAAAATCATAGTTGTAATAGTAAAATATTGACGTTCGGAGAACCAAGGATTCCTCACTGTTCTACAGACTATGGCACTGCTAGATATAAACATATCACTTAGGGGTATATATTGTATTAGCACGCCCCTCTTGTACATCTCAGGTTTTGCATAATCATAACTATATCAGGTACCTACTATTTATGAATCATCTAGCGTATTTCTGAATGGCATACAATGCTAATACAAGGAAGGAAAGTCTGGATTCTAAGTCTGGGATGTTTCAAGACTTCTGAGAGTGTTTGTGTGGGTTTCTTCTTTGCCAATCAAGTATTAAAAAGTTCTATTCCACAACATTTTAAAAATATTTATTTTCACACTGCCAAAGGACAACGTAAGCTTCCCAAAAGTAAACGTCTCTAGCAGGAGTAAATACCAGGGGTGAAAATACAACCTTGCAGCTTTGGAACCAGAAATTGCAGCATGACTAGTGAACAGACATACATTGAACAAACGAGGAACAAGCCTTTTGATTTCACAGATTTCTCATTTGTGAAGGCAAAGCAGCTAAATCAGGAATATAAGACAGGACAGAGACTAGATTTTAAGGGACAGGACAAACAAAACCAAGAAGACATTATTGATATACCTAGATCTACATGATACAAGAAAAGAAGCGGACTGAGGTTACGTGGGGCTCTGGCACACACATGAAGCCGTGTGTGAGCAAAAGCTACCCTCTTCATTGGCACCGGTGTGGACCATTGGCTGGCAGCTACAAAGAACAAGGGAGCCTTGGTTCGCGTGCAGAGCGTCATGTGTATGTCAAAGCTGCTATAGGCACACGGCAGCGGCTTTATCAAAAATGAATAATAAAAATGCAGCATATTTTTGGAACAAAAGAAAAAATAGCAACATGAAGACACTTCAGTTCTTCCCCTCCGTCAGAAGGAATCTCCCACATAAAAAGCAACATTAACTGCTCTTTTCAGGTCCAAAACAGTGCCTATGAGGAGCGTTTTCCTGCCTTTTGCTACACATCTATAACTGCCGGTTCATCTTGTTCCAGTTTATAGGAGAACCGTCTGCAGCAAAGGCAATTGAGAGAAATTCCACACCTGTTGACCCGGGCCGGGCTGCAGCGTCCCATTATTCGTTCCAGCATTCTTCTAAGAGATGCGCATGCGGTTTCCCCATTTGAGAAGCAACACACGGAGTCCAAGCAGTTGATACCTGCGCCTGTCTCAGCAAGCTGAGGAGGAAAGGAAGGGACAATAAAGGGTGCAGGAATGAGCAGTAGATCTTTTAAGGCATCGTATATATTCATAAAAAATAACACAACTCTGAGGAGCATGAATAAAGAATATCATCTCTGTGGATCATGCAGAAAATGTAAAAATATTACGTTAAGTAATTCGATTTCTTTATTGAAAAGATGGAAGTTATAATAGCTATGGCAGTTCTACAGAACCTGTGTGTCTTACCTTTCATTCAGGCACTGTCTTTTTCCTTCGATTTAGCAACTTAGGGGTCCACCACTCACACTGTAGAATTAATGCATGGATACTATAGTTTTACAAGGCCTTTAGTCTTCTCTGCCCAAAGAGTGCTGGTGCCTCACCAAACTGCAAATCTCACGATTCCACAACATTGATCCATGACAGTTAGTGGTGTCCAACTGCATTAATTCTACAGTATAGATCAGGCACGGGAGACTTCAGCCCTCCAGATGTTTTGGACTTCAACTCTGGCTGTTAGGAATTGTGGGAGTTGAAGTCCAAAACATCTGGAGGACTGAAGTTTGCCCATGACTGGTATAGATGCATCTTCATTCACGAAGTCTCACTATCCCATAGTATCCCACTCAACCTGTGGGATCACTGTTGGGTCTAGAGTAGAGGTTCTCAACCTGTGGGTCCTCAGGTGTTTTGGACTACAACTCCCAGAAATTTACCAGCTGTTAGGATTTCTGGGAGTTGAAGGCCAAAACATCTAGGGATCCACAGGTTGAGAACCACTGGTCTACAGTAATGAATAGAAATTGGTAATATATTTTGCATTGGCTGTTCTTGCCCATCGGGCAGCAAGGCCTACTTTAGTGAGAAACCAAGAGACATCCATTTTCTTGAGTGGTGGCAAAGTAGTTGTTTGAGGAGATCTGTTTTCCTATGGAGGCTGTCATAAGCAGAAAGGTTGCTGTTTGGCACCATCATGGAAAGTTTTTAGAATGCAATCTGAGAATGGGTTTCTAGGTACATATACATACAGATTTAAAAAATTGCTATTTCCCTTTTTCCCAGTCCTAGAAAATCTAGGTATGGTGCTCCTGGCATGCCACCAACCTATTAAAAGCAGATGTTCCTACAAATCACAAGTAATGGCAATTGAAATATACATTCCACTAAGGATGTGTTTGTTGCAAAAATAATCAATAAAAAGTCATAACCATTTTATCTTGCTCAAAGTGGTCATAATAAAATCAATGTTTAATCAAGCAAAGCGAGAAGGAGAAGGAAAGAATTCTGTTTGGAAATAAAGAATGAACCAAACAACAGGAAGACACTTGAAACTGAAAGTGAACAAAAGGAATTCAATGTGTCTTAACAGTTAGTATGAAACTGGCTAGTAAAAAAAGAAAAGAAATGAGAATTGAGGATGGTCTGAGCAATAATTACTTCTGTACTTGACTGTTTTAGCTGAAGCCCACTGTCAAAGGTACCATGAACTTGGGTGTAAATCAAATATGTCTCAGAAATTTCACAATATTACAGACAGACACAGTCATTGTTTAAATTCCCTTCTCAACAAAAAAATGCATACTATCTTAGCATGGGTTACTAGCACTCATCTGCCCATTTTCTACTGGGACCATCACTGGTACTGGTTGATTCAATTGTGGCAATCTCTTATTCACCCAGACTTAGAGCTGGGTACTTTAGCTCTGTTCTCAGGTATTATCGAAGAATCAATATGAAATAATGTATGGTCTTCACAGGCAAATAATCTCTAACCTCTGAGAAGCAGATGGACAATGTCTTCTAAGAAGCTTATTTTGGTGGGGATGGGAAGGTGGAAGTGACTCTTTTTAGTATTGGAAGGATAAGGCAACCTTGTTGATAGTATGGTTTTTCACATCTTGGCTACAAGCCTTGATCTCATAACTCCAAATGTACATTGGGTATTTTGGCTCCTTCTGCATCCAAATTGCTAATAACTATAGGCCAAGCTTTGATTCAAATTAGTTCATGATTTTAGCAGACAGCACAGAATGTATGTCCCATGAAAATTAATACAGCTAATAAGAGACTACGTTTTATTGGGGAAGACAGGAGCCCTCAGTGGCGCAATGAGTTAAGCTTGTGTCAGCAGGACTAAAGACTGACAGGTCACAGGTTTGAATCCAGGGAGACAGTGGATGAGCTCCCTCTGTCAGCTCCGGCTCCCCATGCGGGGACATGAAAGAAGCCTCCCACAAGGATGGTAAAACATCAAAAATCCAGGCGTCCCCTGGGCAACGTCCTTGCAGACGGCCAATTCTCTCACACCAGAAGCAACTTGCAGTTTCTCAAGTCGTTCCTGACACACACACACAAAATTGGGAAATTTGCAACCAGTGTTAGAATAGAAGCTGTAATGTCACAATCAAGACATACCACTATTATTGGGATGGGCACCTCTGCCTTTCCTGATGTTTTGGGGTTGTTTCTCCCACAACCTTTCATCATTGGTCATGTTGACCAATAGGATTTTTGGAGTAAATTCAATAGGTCACATTTTTTAACTCTTTCACTGTTGGGATCTACCAAAATCCACCAGAACATTTAGGTACAGATTACGTGGCAGAATGAGTCTTAACCCAAGTGCAGGTGAGTATGGCACAAGTATGGCATTTCTTTCTTATCTTTAATTATTTGGAAAAAGATTGCCCATTTCCCTATTTTCACACATTGATCTTTCACCTTTTGTTCAGCATTATTGTTCCAGATATTGAACAATAATGCTGAACACCATTATTGTTCCAGATATTTATTTATGGGTCTGCACTATAATTGGGTACTGTGGTGGACAAATTCCATCTTCACACAGAATCTGCCAGGGCAGAATTCCACAGTGAATGACAAAAAAGAACTGCATTTTCCTTTAAGAACCAGGTACAAGGAGAGTACATGTTTGTTGTAAGGTACAATATTCTGCTTCTGAATAGTTGTCTTATTGTGAAAGGGAATCATGGTCTTTTTCTTTTGCCTGAGGTGCAGTAGTGATTAGGTGGTTACAAGGGCTACAAATCTAGTGGTTTCCCTAGCATTTCTCCCACTCTTGTCCATACTTCTCAAGGATCTGAGTGTTCTTTCTAAAATAAAAACACCAACTCTCATTAGAAAAACATATCTTAAAGTCAACACCACAAGTAGCATACACATCTCTAAAGAATTCACATGTTACATGTATAATCATTCTTATGTATATATACATACATGTGTGTATATATGCATGTGTGTGTGTATGTGTGTGTGTATGCGTGTGTGTATATATATATATATATACACACACACACACACACACATACACACACACACACACACAGAGAGAGAGAGAGAGAGAGAGAGAGAACAACACTGGGTCTTTGATGTGCAATGGCAGAAGATCACTAACCGATTCAAAGGCAACTGTGCTCTTCATGGGAGCAAGAACTACTGATGGGACACCATCTTCCTTTCCTCACAAATGTTTTTCTCCATAACATCCAATTTTAATATGATGAAAAGGAGTTAGATCCAAATACAGTTGAGGTCCAACTGGGAACCTGCGACCTTTAAAGATACTGATGATCTACTACTCCAGCCAATCACACTATTTGAAGATGATGGGAATGGAGCTCAATATCTGGAGGTCTTGGTTTGAGACCTTGATGGCATTATGTTTGAAAAAAATATTGGTGTGATGCCTAGTTTTTTACTCATGTTCTATTTTGAAATGGTCATATGACTGATCAAATAAATAAATATTATTATTATATTGCTGTGATGCAATAGGAACTGGTTTCTTAAAGCTTCAACGTGTATTCTGTGTGCTTGCTAAAGATTATGACATTGAAAATTATTTTTTCTGTACGAAATAAGGGCAGATGAGGATTCTGAACTAAAGCAGCATGTTTGAAAAAATCAGCCCTAGCAGGCACAGTAAAAATGTTTAAGCCTGCAGAGATCTTTCTGAAAAGATATTTGAGTTCTCTTCTATCCTACCTCTTAAGTCTGCACTTTTTGTCTTTTACTAACTCATCGCTAAGCATTCATGCTGTAAAAAAGTAATAGTGCCGGGTCATTTTGTAATGGTGATGCTTTTTGGCCCAGAGATCATGTACTGATGTCACTAAGGGAAAACAAATAAAGAAGCTACCTCTGAGGATGCTTGCCATAGATGCAGGCGAAACGTCAGGAGAAATGCCTCTAGAACATGGCTCTATAGCCCGAAAAAACTCACAAGAACCTAGTAAATAAAGAAGCGCTGATCCCTGATGAAACTAATATTTCCATCTTCCCAAAAACCCTTTAACAATAGAAAATGTTTGTTAAAGAGTATTATGTCTCGATGTATTAAAATGAAGTCATAATCACAGGAAATTTCTACACCATGGATAAGCGTTAAAGGAAACTCATGTCCAAGGTGCTTGCCATAGATTTGTGCTCCATTATACCTAGTGCTTGCAAGAATGGTTGTATCTTAGGTAGGAAACTGTGGCTGTCTCTGGGGTGCCAATATTCCCCCACAGCACTGTCAAAAAATAAATCAAAATCTGAAGTGGCAGGAACTCCTTTCCTGCTTTTAAGAACATGTATTTTTAATGTTAGACTGCGGATTCACCTCCACTGGTTTTTTTTTAAGCGAATTGCTTCTCCTGGTGGTGTTCAGCAAAGGAAAGTTGTCTTTTTTAAAAAAATCAGACAAGGGGAAGCACAGAATGTGTTGTACTTGCCTCTTGCTCTAGCAGGATTGCATTAGATCAGTGGTTCTCAATCTGGGGTCCCCAGATGTTTTTTGGCCTACAACTCCCAGAAATCCCAGCCAGTTTACCAGCTGTTAGGATTTCTGGGAATTGAAGGCTAAAAACGTTTGGGGACCCCAGATTGAGAACCACTGCATTAGATAAACTAAGTCACACAATCACAGTATACACTGGATCTTAATCAGAACTCAGGCAACAAGTGATTTTCTTAAAAATTGTGTGTGCACGGTCTCTTGGAGGCAGATAAG